CATATTAGTCAATCCAAAAACTATGTAAAAATCAAACTTTAGTATAGTTTATTAGTTAAGAAAAATGAATACGAAAAATAAATAAATTTAAATATGAAAGATGAAATATTTTCAGACAACCCCATGAGGAATTTATACTTGATCAAATTCATAACTAATTACTAGGCAAAAATGTCTTACCTTCCTTACATTAGCCTTGTATTTTTCTTTTTTAAAGAAAATGTATTTAAAGTATCACTTTAAAAGTAAGTTGGTTTTTTTAAAAGACATGTTTAATAATACTAAACAAAATATTTTACACAGAAAGGCACCCAAACTGAGATATAATCGAAACTCCTACTACATAACTGGATTCCCAAGGCACAAAAAAAATTCTTTAAGTTTTTCCAAGAGTTATTATTTAATAAGTAGTTTTCCTAATAAAAAGAAAAGAGCTCAATTTGTAACCATAGGTATGGATTTGATATTTGGTAGTATGATTCTAAAAGATTTAGAGAAAAACATAGATTTGAAGTTCTTTCTCCTGATCTAAACTGCTTTATGACAAATCAAATGAAATGCTCCATGAAGATAAATGTGTCATTCATAAATGATGGAAAACAAGCAGTATTTTGATATTACAGCTTGGTTTATCCCATTGTCATTTCCCCCCTCTCTTTAATAATTACCTATGCACAAACTCTAGATGGCAATATTGCACTTACTGTACTTTCGGGAAATTGTCACAGTCGATATCCACATATCCTCTTTATCAACATTTTATGTGCCATGGATCTATAGCCTCTTATTATAAGTGTAATGAAGCAGAAGTTATTGAAGCATTTTATTGATTGCTCAGATCACAAGTTTACTGCCATACTGAATTGGCACCTTACTCGCTGAAGCAAACTGCTGACACCTTTTTTAAAAAGTGACAACTACATCTATTTCATGACCAGAAATCCATTTTCATCTCTATCAAGACAAGAATGCAATTTTCACTTCATTTAACTGATGTTAGGCCTGTTCAAAGCATGACACTTAGAAAAAGACACAAGTTTAAGGTTCTTAAAATACTTCCAGTAACTAGAATGCAGCTTGGTTTCAGGAAAGGAAAAAAAATCAACAATCCTCAAATCTACAATCTAATGTTCTTTAAAAAAAAAAATCACTTACTAGAAACTTCAGAAGTAGTTCTAATTTTGAAATGCCTGCCACACTACATTTATTTTTTAAATGTAACTTAGATTTATGCACTAAGAGATTTTGTTTAAAGGTTTCAGAAGACATTAAAGTTAGTTCAAACACGGAAATATTCTGAGTATTGCCCCAGAAAGTCTAAGTTAAGGCAAGGGCTCAATGTTTAAAGTATACACAGCACAGGAAATGAAACAAATAGTTATTGTTTCACTTATGCTAAGATTCATAAATGATTTTGATTGACCTAAAACATAGGATCTAAAAACAAAAACTTCCAACATATCCTTTATAAAATAAAATAAGATTTCTTTAAAAATAAGGTGATGAGCCTATTCTGTCAGCATTCAATGTAAATCAACTATATTTTAACCTGAAGCAATTCTGAATAGAATATTTGTATTACTACTATTATTTTATGTCTAATTATCAAATTTATTGCAAGTGTAGGCAAAGTGAATCAAGGTTAGGCTTTACAAATTGTTAAATTATCATGCTTTAAGAGAATGGAATTTAGATATTAATAAAAATAAGTTTTAATTTTAAATTGAAGAACCAATATAGTCTGAAGTTTGATGCGTATTTCTTTATCCAACAATGTATTCACAGAAGTAAACCTACAATATGGTTCCATTTTAAATAGAGAAACCTAAGTTTTGAAACAAAATTTCAATTTCATTATCTAAATTTTTCAATCCAGCACATCAAATATAGAACTTTTAGAAGTAACATACAACAGCATTTTTAAAAGTTGTTTTGCTTAAATTAGTTTAAAAAAAACTAAAAAAGACCACATATACACACAAAAACAAATTGGAAGTACTCAGGCAAAAAAAATGTATTATTCTAAGAAAACTTTATTAATTATTTATTTAAAATAGACCCAACGATACATTTTTCTAGATAAAATTAAAGAAATAACACCTTTCCCTGAAACTTCAAACATAAACAGAAATTTCTATGTTTTTCAGTGTACTGCTGAAGTTTAGAAAATGCCTTAAAAATCTTTAAAAAAAATACTGTGGATATTTTTGTCTAGTTTTGTTTAAATAATCAGACAGGTATAAATTTAACATGAAACTTGATGAGTTTCTTTTCAAGATGCTAAAAATTTAAAGTAGAATTAAAAATTGTCTCAAATTTCTTACTTTCAAGATAAATGCATTTTTAGGCCTTAAGTAGCACAAGGACCCTATGACTTCATAATTAAGATGTTACCATGAAATATGCATTTTCTTTGTAATTTTCTGAACTTCAAAAAATGACTGTAATCTATACCAACTAAGATATTCCAGGAACCGTTTTGAATGATTAATACTGAAAGTGAAATGAGCTCTTTTAAAATTAGTATTTTTGAAAAAAGAAAAAAAGCCATATACATTTGTTATTTTAAAAAATCACGGATAATTCTGTTAGGGAAGCTGGGGTTGAGGAAGAGCTATCTAAATCCAGAAGATGTTTCCAGAAATGAAAGTCTCTTCCAAATCACGTTTGTACTTTTAACACTGCCCATCAGCCATCAGGAGCAGTTATTTATATAGCTGCCTGGCACAGATCCATGGACTTTTATTCATCTTTACAGTATTTCTGAACAGACTGACATATTTTGTTTACTGACAGCAACCAAAAGCTCTACATAGCATCATAAATAAAGAAGATCATGTTTAAAAACCGCTAATATCATTTTAAAAGGTAGTGCAGGCTTGTGTTTTGGCCTCTGTTTGGCTGTGTTAGGCCTATGAATGACAGCTTCCCTGCTTGAAACACACAGAAAGCACAGCCTTCCTCATTCACTGACAGGACTGTGGTCTTTTCACACGTTCCTTCCACAGCAGTGTTTGTCCCCAAACACTGGAACTCCACACAATAGCATTCCTACTTCAACACCCCCACCAACAGCACCACTACATAACAAGAATGCTAATGAGATGGAAAGGCCCTGTCCTTGAAAGTGTTAAATACATTTCATAGGAAGCATTTATGCTACTTCAAAGATTACCAATTAAATAGATTCTGCTTAGCTCTGAGCAATTTTGAAGATATTTCCACTTTTAAGGAAATAAATGTGATAAATGTAAGACTAAGTGATTTTATGCTGTCCTATAGTATCTCATTTTAATACACATGAATCAGTATATATTTAAGACCACCCTAATGTAGTGTGCTTAATTCAGTTGCATACTATAACAGCTAAGCTAAAGTTAAAAGTTAAAAAATGAGTAAGTTCATAAACATAAAATCAGTAGCCCTGATTTTTCTTTTGAAGCTATACTATCACAATTTAGCCAAAAGATTTTCAGAGAAAGTCAAAATTTACAGTCTATAATTATTTGCCAAGCAGCAAAGAAGCATGATTTTCATATGGGATGTGAGAAGTATAATAAATGGAAATTATATTGAGCTAATATATCTTATAATTTAGAAACTTAGACTTGCTAAAAAAAAAAAAAGTCCATCCACATTTCACTTATCTATAATTCCTTATCACAATCTTACATAAAACCAGATATAAAAGACTATCCCAAAGGTCAAGTTAAATACATGTAGTTCAAATATTTATTAATGCTAAGAGATATTTGATTTTTCTTTAAATCCTACTCATAAAGATACTGCCAGGTCTAACAATTAACCAGTGAAGGCTTGATAATGCTACCATCACGGTGATTTTTCTAGACATTGGAAATAATTTAACGTATAAAGTCATGGTGTCACAACTAAGTCATGGAATAGAGACTGCAGAATACATATAACTGAACATGACTAACAATATAAAAAACCTACATGGAAATGTGTAACAGGAAAATTGCATTGCCTTTTCTTCCTTTTCATATTTTAAAATACAACTGAAATATTTTTATGAAGTTTTAATTATTTCAACTTAGTGAGACATAGGTAAGAATACAAAGTCTGTGGTGCTAAGTAGTCTTAAGTTTAGCATAATGTTAAAATTCTTACAGATTAGTTAAATAAGCAACTATGGACAGATTAAAAGTATTAAATTTTGTTCATATTTACACTTAATATCAACACAATATAGTGCTCATCATATTTGAGTCAAAGAATTTTTTAATCAAAGCAATAATTCTCAAGGCATTTCTCTTCTTACAATACGTAGAACTCTTTTAAATCTACATTCTTTCATATTAGTCTTACTGACTTCAATTTTACTATTTTTCTCATCTTGATCATTCTCACATTTAACAAAACTTAAAAAATGCTTCTCTTTAGATTTTTATTTAAACAGTATCTTTATATTGGAAATTTCATGTTTTAACATCAAATAAATAATATTTAATAATATGATTCAAAATTAAATTATTACACCTTCTAATAAGTTAAATTGAAATGTATATCAGATAAAGGATTGTAATTCAATTAGTCATAATCCATTTTATCATATCATATTATTTAAAATTAGTTACATATAATTATATCTTAAAATTAAAACATTTTAGCTTACATTAAATACAATTAAAATTTAACACCAGTTTTTATTTGATAGCTTCATAAAGACCATTGTAAAAAGTTAGATGTTTTTCTGTTTGTTATTGTGAATAAGCTTATATATTGTGATGAACAATTTTGTTTCTAGATCCACTGGAACTAGTTACAGGACAAACCACACATATTTTTTATATAAAAGTTTCTCCTGGGAAATCATTTCTTGGTAGTTCTAGATCCTTCACTCCAACACTTCCTGAACCAGACAGCAGGAGGTGCTGTATGAACACTGAGATTGGCTTTTGTTTCCCACTTCCCTCCCCTTTCTCGCTCTGCATGCAGACAGTATGCAGAGGGTAGCATGATGCTTTCAAAATAGTTACTTTCAGCATCCTGTGGTGTAAGATAATGAGCCCAGTTCGAAACTGAAATCTCCCAGTTCTAAATGTAAAATTCAGTCCATATTTAACATGGTAAAAATGTTTCACTTCTTAAGTCTAAGTACAAAGAGGATTTTTTTAATGTTGCAACTCGATTTTTACTTTTCAAATGACACCATTTATTCTGCTTTATAATGTGATCCTACTTTAAGGTAAATCGAAAATCCCTGTGTATGGCTATTAAAACATTAGTCTTTATACACACACACACATACACACACACACACAGAGTTTGGAATGGATATTTAAAGGACAAATCTACCGTAATAAAAATACATTAATCATACTTCTATTCTTTGACTACGGAAACTTACCAGGAAAATAAGTATAAATAAAGTTTCCCTTGGAATGCAGCTAATTCACAATTCCATTGCTTTGGATTGTGACTTGTTTTGTTTTAGCTCAACTTCTACAATAGCATTCTGATTTTACCCTGGTGGGAAAAAGTCCAGAAAGCTAAATCTTCAAATGACTTAGGAGCTATTCATTTTCTTATTTAAAGTAACTGGTTATAGAATTTTCACATAAGGAATTGCCTTTGCTTTGCATGTTGCACGCCAAGAAAAGATGAGACATATGACATCCCATACCAAAAGACAGATACAATTAGCCCAATTATTGTTGGTTTTCAGATTATAGAAGCCCTTTGGCTCCCTAACAGGCACTGAGCTCACAAAATACTTGTCACAGTTCTTTTATGACACGATGCTAATTGCTGCCTCTATAAAACCAAGTACACTTTTAAAACAAACAATAAAGTTCTAAAAGGGAGATGACTCACCTGTTCGTAATATTTTTTTGCAGACTTTAATCGTTGGTACAGGGCCAAAAGAACTTCTTGGATGTACATCTTAGCTCCTGAGGGGCTGAAACCTTCTCCCTTTGAGACCCAAAGTGGTCCCCGCAAAGGTGTGATGGAATTTTGCAGGCATTTTTCAAGCAGAGGAACTATTCAAGAAAAGATAGGGGAAAATATTCTTTTGACCCAACCAAAATACATTGCCTGGAACCCAGCCCCAATGCCAGAAATAACTCTTAACATCTATTATTTATATCTGACCTAGGTTAAGTCTTAAGACAGGCAATTCCTGCATTACTAGTGGCCACCATGAGGATGTATTTATATTGAGACAACCCCCTCCCTGCCCCAAGCAAGACTCATAAGCTTTGTGAGCACACCTGAATAGTTCTGAAGTGTGCCTAACTAGCTGCACCGAGTGTCATGGTGTGCACTGATTGCCTTATCTTCTCATTTATCACAGATGAGTTGGAACCAACCTTGCTGAAATCTACTTGCATTGTCCTGATAAAATTGCAAGACCCATGTTGTTTCTGTGTATAGCTTCCTGTAGAGGAATCTATGTACCAAAAACATCACATCTGGAAATTATTCATAAAATATAATTCACACCTTTATGAGCCATCTTGTTTCCAGGCTTATTATTGCAATTCTTTAAATAACCCATAAAACAGGGTGGCAAGACTGTTTAAAAAAAGTAGGGGGAGAATCTGAAGGAAGTATTCTATCATACTTTTTTTAAGTCCCTGGGATATAAACTAGTCAAGATTCTGAAGTGCTATTCCAGCATGAGCTTTGTAAACAGATAAAAGATATTTACTTGTGGGCCTGTAATGCAACATCCATATGGACTTGACAGACATGTTTACACAGTTCTTCACATGATTAGCTTATAAAGTCTTTCTAGTGTAAAGCAGTCAAATAACATGGCAAGTAGCAAATATTTTTCAAGATTTAATTTTCCTCTGAAAAGTCAGAAATCTTAGGCATCATTGGGAACCCAGAGGAAGATAAAAATCATAACACTCATAACTTGGTCTTTATTTAAATGTTTATACTGTATATGGTTCAAACATACACATATAAAATAGCCATATGTCTCTGTCTTATTCTAGTATATATTTTTACTAGGAAAACAGAACTAGATCACCAGAAGAAAAAATAGGTCTGTGCCATTGCTTGTGTTATATATTGTCTATTTTATGTGAAGAGGTCTAGCATAGCGATCTGGAAACTGAATTACAATTAAGTTCAGCTGAGCTGCTGAGAGGCTGAGTTATGCAAATAACTTCTGCTGAAATTTGCTCTCAGAGTTGTGCATTTTATGGCTCCTAAGTTCTATGACTTTTTCTAAAGCACAACTAAAAGTCAAATGTATTCAATGCTTAGGAGAATGTTGAAGCTAGCAATAAACATTTTTGCCATTGTAAATAAAATTAAAAAGAAATTATGACGTGTTCTCAGATGTATGCATAAATTTCATTCATCTAGTTTTAGAAAAAAACCTGAATTCTTGACATTCACCTATCCCATTTTTTACACTCTTAAAACATAAATCTTTGTTTAGAAGTTTTACCACAGCAAATGCCTCAAACTTTTCAAATATCTATAAGATCATATATACTATAAAAATAAAAATAAAAGAGAAACAACTCATTTTCAGAAGTACAATTCCTAAATCTTAAAACATACAAATAAATTTTGATTATAATTTTTTCTAAAGAAAGCTCAAGAACTCCTAGTTAACAACTATAACATTTATACATTGACTATAACATTCATATATCACTATTAAATTTTAATTGACCCACCTTTAATGGGAATACTCATTTAGCCTAGCATATTTGTGAATATTGCAAAGCACTACATTGATAGGTATTAAATTTAAACAAAAGTTTTTAACAATTGTGAAGCAAGTGATACATTTTAAATTCACATAATAATCTTAAATTTAAACTTGAGAACTTTCATCAGGTTCATCATTTATCTACATTTGTCACAAAATAACTTGGATTCTTTATGTAAACCTGACCAATGCCAACAAAAGCATTTAGTTGATTTTTCTACCACAAAACTCTACTCCTGCTCCCCCCAACTTTGTAAACTTGGGGGGAAAAAGATTAAAATTGTATCACAATGTAAGCAGTGTCAGAACTGATACTGGATATAAAATAGCTCCCTGGCTCCACATGATTTATGTCATTGGGAATACTGTGGAAACCAGAAACGGTAAAGCAAAGAAAGAAGCATTCACAAGCAGGTTTTATAAGGGACTTCAGAATCTGCTCTGAATTTGTTGAATAATCTGTTCAGTATTCCAGCATCTCCCTGCTGGAAGCAGGGTCCTCATTATAACCACAAGAGCACTAATAAAGGTTAGCCTCTGAACTAGGGATTAGAAGGCTCTTTCTTTTAGGAAGCTGCAAACTAGTAACTTTGATGATCTTCTTGAAAAGAAAGACAAAGCACACTCCAAGAACAAAAATGTTTCCACTAAGTAGGAAGGTATAGAAAACATAAGAAAATGATATGCCTAAATACTTGGAAAGGAAGTATAAATCAGCCTAATATGCTATATTGAGAAAAATAATCAGAAATACTCAGAAATTAACCAGTCTGAATTAAAGAACTCTCTATGTTGGGGCTGTTGGGGAAGAAGCTTTGGCAGAAGATGTAGTTTTGAAACTTAAGTGAATAATTGGTTCATTAGGTTACTTGACTTATCAACCCTAGCCATAGCTTTTAGTGTATAATATTTTAAAATTTTTATTGAGTATTCATAATGTTCTATACTAAATAAGAGTGTACAAATATTTTTTAACAAATGGTTTTTTTCAATTAAGTAGTTAGCCATTTCTCCTTTTCTGAAGTAAAATTCCATAGTTATTAAACACTGTTGTATAAATATGTGCAAGAAATTAAGGAAATGATTTAGAAGTGCCAATAGTGTTAGCCATAAGAGCACAAACTTAGAGGTTACTAAGAGCTAGCAAAGCTCAAGATTGATAATCAGTGAAAACATATTTGCTTTTCCTATGGAAGGAGCTCCAGGAGATTATATTTTTTTTCAAGATATTCTATGTTTCTATGTCCTTCCAAAACAGATACTTCTTTCTCCCTTTTCAAACTACTTACTTATTATTGCCTGATTTAAGGTCGCCCTGTGTTGTTAGTGTTTGTGTGCCAAACTACCTACACACAAGCATTTCTTCTTACATGGAAAACTTTACTATAGATATTCTACCTAGTCTTCTCATTAAACAAGGCCTCAAAACCTTATATTACATGAGGTAACTAAAAATCATCCCAAGCCAGGCACTGGTGGCTTATACCTACAATCCTAGCTACTTAGGAGGCTGAGATCTGAGGATGATGGTTCAAAACCCACTCAAGCAAACAAATTGGTGAGACTCTTATCTCCAATTAACCAGCAGTAGGCCAGACACAGAGATATGGCTCAAGTGGTACAGCACCAGTCTTGAGAGGAAAAAGCAAAAAGCCAGTGTGAAACCTTTAGTTCAAGCCCCAACACTAGCACACATACACACACACACACACACACACACACACACACACACACACACACAAATAGTAATGACAATCCTTTAAGTTTAGTAATACAGTATCAGTCAAATGGCATTATTCTACAGATCATTTCTACCACTGTAAAGGTAAAACATTATGTTTAATTGCAGATTACATATTTAGAGTAAATTGAAAAGTACTCATCTCAATGTATTCAGGACCAAAACTGAGAATTTTGAGCATAGCACGTAACTCACTTCATTGGATAGAACTAATACTGAGTATCGTGGATAGAACTAATACTGAGTATCGTGGGTATAGAGATCAAATGACCCAAAGTAGTCAAAACCCTAATTTCATACCTTTCTTACTCATATTATTTTGCTTCCTTTGAATTTCTTCCCCTTTGCACCTGTGAATTTATTTTTACCTTGAAAAGTCATATCGTGTTAGTTATTCAGAATTATTTGTTCTTCTCTCTATGCTTGCTATAGGTGTGTGTGTGTGTGTGTGTGTGTGTGTGTGTGTGTGTGTGTGTGTGTGTGTGTGTGTGTGTGTGTGTGTGTGTGTGTCAGAATTAATGTGTGAAATCAGGGCCTTTTATTTGCTAGACAAGTGCTCTACCACTTGGGTTATGCCCCTAACCCTTTTTATACTAGTTATTTTTCAAATAGGGTCTTTTGCGAGGGCTGTGCTGGACCACAATGTATACCTCCTATGTAGTTGGGGTGACAAATATGAGTCTCTGCGCACAATTTTTATCAGGTATAAAATTTGTGTCCAATCTGGCCTCTTAATTACAAGCCTCCCAATCTCAGCGGCCCAAGTGGCTAAGGCTGTAGGTGTGGGATAACACAGGTGGCTTTTTATAGCATTTTAACATACTGTTATTTGTCCCTAATTCATTTTTATTAGTCCTTATCAGCTCCCTTTCCACTCCTTCTTCCACTAAATCCAAAAGCCTTTAGATTTTTGAAGTCATGGTGCTTTGTTTAGTTAGTTTTGGTTTTTTTTATTTGACAAGAAACAATCCTATACATTTATGGATATAATGTGATGTATATACTGTAGAATTAAAATCAGGCTAACTAGCATATTAGGTCAAAATGTCTTATTAGTTCAACAAATGTCTTTAGCCTATGTGAGCAGTCTATTGGGTACATTTTATGAGCATATATACAGGTATGCACAGAATCACTCCAAACCTGTAATTTTCAATAACCTAATAAAAACTTGACCAAAATTTGATTGAACAAGAATACACAATTTTTGAAGCATAGAGTATATAAATTATTTTCTCTTAATATTTCTTAAAAATTATTTTTGAAGACCAAGGAGGAAAATAAAAAGATCCATAAACATTTGCAATGAAACATTTTAATTAGTAAGGAGTCCAGAAGTATGTATTTTTGAAAGTCCTCAGAAACTTCTTTATCCTGCACTGTCATAAATCATGCTTCTGTAGAGAACAACATATAATAAAAAAATTTTTAATGAAGCAAAATATAGATTAAGGTCAAGATATCTATTTTAAATACAAGAGTTAATTCCTTCTAAGGACTCCAAACACAATGAGTTAAAATGCTAAATACAAAAACAAGCTTCTCAGTCTTCAAGATCTTAT